GTATGTGCCATTCACAAATGACACATTTTTTTTCTTGCAAGGGAACCTACCGAAACCTAATTTGCTTTAATCCGTCGTTTCACAGCGGTCATGATCAGAGAACCTACCATTAGCGTTCAGCTCAAGCTTCGTTTGAAGTTTCTGTTCTCATGTCAAACAAGAGCCGGGGCCAATGTAAATTCAAAGAAGTATCTGGTTTAATAGCGTGACATTTTATTTCAATTGCACTGCTTGATATAGAGGCATCATCTTCTTTTTCTCGAAGAGTTTACTTGTAATTCAAGTCAATGAGTTTACTCCTGATTCATATCACGGTTTATTTATTTCATCTTTTTTGCCTTTAAGTTCGATAAGCGTCACTCTCGCAACAGGCAATGAAAGAAACTTTTGTACGTGATATAACCAGTTTTTTTTTTCCTGTTACCAAAACACTTTTTAGCACATGTTGAGCATTTTCGTACCTGGATGCAAACACGCTGACAAGATTGTGAATGCGTTCACTAGTTCACACATGCTGGGCATGTTCGCAACATGTTCAGAAGAAGTGAACATCTTTGGGACTTACTCAGGAGCATGTTTTTGTTGCCGGCTGCTGGCTCTCACCCGTTCTAAATGTTCCGAACATAAACAGTATATGTATTTTTTATGCGTTGAGAACAATGTGTTGAGTTTCATTTTAGTGCGGCAGTAGCGTCACTGAGGCCATAATGTCGGGCAATGTTGTCTTCTGTGGCCTACTTTCCCTGGAGGTGCCGCTGAAAAACGCACAAGCACGTCGGAAGAACATAAAAATGTCTGAACAGGGCTAGTCAAAAGAGCAAAAGACTGCTCGGGTTTCGAGCGTTTCCCGGCAGGGGCACTGCCTGTTAATGCGCCTGCTCACAGGCGCAGTCGTGCGCCGCACTGTCTTGTAAACGTGTGCACGATTAAGGAGAGGTCCGCTAGTTCCTCTGTCTCATTGGCCCCCCGATACCTATTGGTGGTTAAACGCTTGTTTTGTTTTATTGATGAAAGGGTTATGTCAAGGCCTCTTGATAAATATCATCTGGCCTCCGATACTCATTAGAGTGCCCCTAGATTACTTTCGTCATCTCTCGGTGATTGCCAGAAAGGCGAGCGAACCCACGCTCCAGTTTCTCCACAACGAGGAGGCGCGCCGTTCAAACACCTCTCTTCTTCCACCGTGCGCTAAAGCCACTTTCCAGGCTGCAGCTTCTCCACGTTCACCGCGACAGCGAAACCCCGTATCGCCAACGTCCAACAACCACGGACCTAAAAACGGCGGGTTGTGACCACTGATCTGTATTGTAGCAGGCTGGATCGCGGATCGGGAGCCCGACGGTGCCCCTACCGGCGGCCGTTGCTTGACACCAGTCAATACATGCCAGTCTGTGAAAGGAATAAATAAAAGTTAACCTTTTTCTCACATTTGTGCGAAGTGTTTTGTAAAGAAACGTTTATGATGTTTCGCAGTAATATAGTAAGCCAAATAATAAGGCGAATGAGAGAAATCCCACTGTTTCACGTTTGTTTCTCTTATGATTCAATGCATTTGCTGGTATCAAGCCGTGGCCGCCGGTAATGCCACTCGACCCCAGAAAAACAATCCTCGGTCTACTGGTACAGTAACAAAAAAACAAAAAATAATCCCAGTCTACTGGTACAGTAACAACAGACATCAGTAGTTGTGACCAATTCCGCTTCAAAGACAAGGCCTGCCCATGACGTCACTATTAGTGGACCTGCTTCAAGCGGCAAACACCCTGAAACTCGACGACAGTTACCGCAAAGCGGCAGACGCTCTGTCGGAATGCCGGCGCAAACTAGGCGGAGCTGCGGGGATCTACTAGTGATGACGCTTGGGCGGGAAATGGCGCAGGCCTTGTCTCTTCCACGTGGCATTAGTCGCGACTCGCGACTTCGAATCTCCGATAGTCGTTACCATTCAAAGCCGACGTGCCGGCGCGGGTCTACAACGAGACCGGAGTTAGGCGAGTGCCGGGCACAGTACGCCCGAACCAAAGCCCGCCCCAAAATAAATGACTCGGAGAATCAGAACAGTTCCGATGAAAGCGCAGTCGCAAAAGCAACAATCGCTCTTTCTCGAACAAAAGGCCACTAGAAGAAGCACGCCTCGATTGTGAAGTGTCGGGGTGGCCTCATGGCGCGCCGCCGTCGTGCCATCGTCGTTTTTCTTCCGGGCTTAGGAGGGCATTGTTGGCGCTAGAGCTTGTGTTTTTTTACGTCCCGTACGATGCCGGCCGTTCAAACGTAGGCGCCTCTACTTGGAAACCGCGGGATTTAAGAACTGCGACGTGCTCCCTTTGCTGCCGGAGGAGATGGACCGTATCGATCGAGTGTCTGTGGGCTGTTGGAGAAAATAACCCGTCTTCTGTAGCGCGTGCAATCCAGTTCTAAAAACACAACGGGCATTTTTAACGCTCGAAGCCACTCGCTTAAAAACCGCAGACACGCTGCCTCCACATCGTATAAAAGGCACAGTGTTTACTGCAGGCATGACGACGGAATGATCTGCGCACATGCCTTAAGTATCTTGCACGCCTGTTCGCTTCTTACAGATGTATATGTCGAACATACCTGCAGACAGTTCTTTGTGACCAAAGATACAGACACGCCTCGGACTTTGTCCGCAGACAGTGTTTTTGCATGATGTATTTGCAGCGTGACTGCGGTTTAGAATGTACGTGCCATGCAACTGCTCTTTTCGAACGCGTGTGTATGTTTTATGAACGTGCGTCCGTCTTACTTCTTGTCACATCGACATGCTGATGGATCCTTGTGCGCCTTCTTTTTTTTTTTCTTGTTGTTGTCTCGTTCGAGTTTTTATTGTTTAGGCTGTGGTATATTAAGTGCTGGCCATAGATGTTATCGTTTCTTTTGATCACGAGTTGGCTCAAGCTTTAATTGACAGCACCTGCTTTGGTCTCCATGGGCACCGGTCAGTACCTTCACACGTTAGTCGCGCTATGGAAAACTTGCGAATGCTTCTTATTGGCCAAAGCTCTTCACCAATACGTCCGCTGTGATGAACAACTAAGCTAGGGATGTTTTTACCTTAGCTTGGAACACGACGAACACTATTTTCCCGAGGTAAAAGCTTTTGAATATGAAAAATCAGCGTGCTAGCTTTTGCAGTCGTGGTATGACACCCCTAATTGCGAAAGGCGACGATTATGCGTGACAATGCGTTTGAGGGGCTGTAGGATAAGTCGGAATTTTTTTAATGCGTAGCCTCTCGTTTCGGAGAGGCCCACGCTTGTAAAAAGAATCGTATTTTTTTATAACTAATTTGGATGCTTCATCTTCCCTTGTACTTCCCTCGAGCTATGTGCAAGTGATGAAAATGCCTGACTACACTAATGACTGTAGCGCTTGAGGTAATGGTCGCTCCTTCGTATAAAGGCATCTGTTTAATGGTGTCTGGGCTTGACATACTGCTTAATAAGGAGTTTTCTCAGATGCTTCTCGCGTGCAGTCTCACAACGCTCTCTGCAAACTGCTACGGTCTTTCAGTAACATGTAATAAGCATTCACTCTATTTAGTTCTCCATTGATCCGTGCGCTCTGCGACTAACACCACTAGCGAAGCGATTTTGCCTGCCACGGCGTCTTTGTTACGGGGAGCGCTGCAGAGCCGTAAAGCCAGCCTACAAAAACTCCTAGTTAACAAAATGGTCAGCAGTGTGTAGGATCTAAAAATCCAGAACTATGCATACAATTACATGGACATAGTATAGTAGAAAATATTTCCTCGCGCGAAAGGTACAGAGGGTGATGCAGTTAGTACGAGCAAGAGATCGCGAGATTTTCAATGTTTTTTCTTACAATTAAAAAGCGAAAATTTTTAGGTTGGAGCTCTAATAGCAAAGCATTAAAAATGGGTTCTTGTCAATAACCTGTGTGCGCTAGATGCGGAGTATAGCCAATGTCGTGTTCGCGCTTGCAGTGTCGCGCATTTTGATTCTGTCACTATGGTTCCTAAGTGAGTTCATGCAATCGATCTAGAAGCTAAAAGCGAAAATATGACTTGTCCGTGGAATCTAAAAGTTCGTCATTTTTTTCTAAATTTTTTTTAAAGTAGGCTTTCAATTTCAATTATACCTCCTGACAATTACACAGTTCAGTGTTTACAAATCCAGTCTGCCCAACGTTAGGTAACCCACGGCTGTTTTGCGATCAGGTAATTCGGTGCGTGGTAATGTATTGGCAAGATACAGCAGCGCGCTTTTTTATGAATTTAGACTATGCCTTCGTAGTGATGGCGGCATAGTAGAACCGTGAAGTAAAGTAAATTTACGGCTTCGCCGCACTGTAAACAGGTAATTCTCATTTGACAAAGTGAAAGGGTATACATGCGCTGCCATGGATAGTAAGTTCTATACCGAAAAAATGGTTGTTGAGCACTACTCTTTTATTGCATGCTTACATTGAATGAGTATCTGTTCTAGTGCATCTGGGGAGTTAGGGGATGTCGGGGACCTCGAATAGGGGCAGCTAGTCCTGAACAGTGAAATTAATTTCAAATTATATTTTCAGTGCATTACAAAAATTTGAGTGAGCCCTCGCGTATACGTGGCGACGGTCCTTTATCAGCGGCGGAGCGCCGCTCGCGTGGCCAGTTGCCCTTGGCCCCCTTGCGGTGGAAATGACCACTGACGATTTGGCAGAGGGGCAACCTGGGCTAATGCCTTTGATCCCCAGGTTACCCACAATACATAAATCATGGTTGAACAATATCTAGGTCTTGGTATTATTTATTTTTATTTATACAGTGTCGGCATTTTTTTTTTTTTTAATACACGGCGTTGCATTATAGTACCTTTAAATATACAAATACTTGACAAAGTATATTACACGTTCGATATGATTCCTCTATGTATGTCACTGTGGTTCCTTGTGGTTAACGGAGTTTTCTTTTCTTGTTCGCTTTTCGCAGAACCTGTTTCTCGCCGCCTACCCTGCATCTTCAGAGACGGGAGCCAACAGCCGAGGCAAGCCGCCTGTCGAAGCCTCTGCGATGCAGTCAAGCTACCTGAACAACTGCAGCCTTGCCGGGCTAGTCAACGCGCCGTCCTGGCTGTGTGGGCCTGACTCTTCCGAGTACCTCTACCCTTCGGGTGGTAACGACAGTGCCGACTACCCGTGCAACCTAGCAGAGGGTTGCGACCCCACGACTTCCTCATGGGACCCCACCAGCTCGCCAGAACCCTACACGGAGTCCTCCTACAGTCAACTGCTCGTCAGCAGCCGGTTCTGGATCCAGAGGGTCCTGGTACCCATAATCACTATCATCGGCGTTGTGGGCAACTCAGTGACAATCGTGATAATGACTCGCCGCCGGATGCGGTCGTCCACAAACAACTACCTGGCCGCGCTCGCCATAGTGGACATGATGTACCTCCTGGGCGTGTTCGCCCTTTCCCTCAAGCACTACGAGTTCATCCAGGAGCAAGGTCTGCACATCTATTTTCGCTGCTTCCCATTTATCCTCCTGCTGACAGACACGTGCAGCAACACCTCCGTGTGGATCACGGCCACGTTCACGGTGGAGAGGTACATCGCGGTTTGTCACCCTATGAAGGGCAAAGTGCTCTGCACCGAATCGAGGGCCCGGAAGGCGGTGATAGCCGTGGTCGTGTTCTGCTTCGTCCTCACGCTGCCAACGCCGTTTGAGTACGCGGTCATTGAAGAGAAGCATCCGGTCACCAACTCCACCATCGTCAGCATGAGCTACTCGGAGTTCGGACGGAACGAGCTCTACAAGAAGATCTACTACTGGCTCACTGTGGTGCTCTTTACGCTGGTGCCCTTTTGCCTCCTGGCTGTGTTCAACGCTTTCCTCGTGCGTTCCGTGCACATTTCCCGCAATCAGCGCTCCAAGATGACCCTGAGGACGGACTCCTCGAGGGACAACCAAGAGAACAAGATCACCGTCATGCTCATCGCCGTGGTCATCCTGTTCTTCGTCTGTCAGCTTCCCACGGCCATGACGCTTCTCTACACTTCGATACGGGTCCCCGAGGAAGGCAGCGAAGACGAGATGCTCGTTTTCGCGCTGGGGAATATCTTCAACTTCCTCATGTCCATCAACGCGGCGGGAAACTTTATTCTGTACTGTCTTCTAAGCCAGAAGTATCGGCGTACCTTCCTGCAGATATTCTGCCCTTGTGCCGAGGGCCGCTTCGTACGCCTTCAATCGGTCTACCAGTACACCGGCGCCGGGGTCAACCACTCCGACGATCACACCGCTACCCGTCGCCTCAGCTCAGTGCGTTCCCAACGCTCAAACTCCACGGCCCCCGTGGATTCGCTCACCGATAACTCCAGCAAACGGACTTCCGGGCCCGGAAACCTGCTCAGTGTTCCCGATCATGAGTCCGCACCGGGCGACGGTGACGACGCCAACAGTGGAACGAGTGACAAGAATGGTAACTGCGGCAGAAACTGTTCTCTCTGGAAGAAACTACGGCAAGCCAGGAAGATTGACGGCAACCAAGGCCTGAAAGGGGCTAAAGACTGTGTTGTTGTGATCACGGCCGACGGCGTGCCGCAGAACAAGTGCATACACTCCAGTATTTGAGACGAATATTCTCAGGCTTCGGGCGCTCACTGCTCTTGATGGCTTTTAGACCACTGAGAGGTTTATTTGGGCGAGACCCGTTGACCAAGTATCTCTCTCCCGCCACTCCACGGGAAGGTAGCTAAGACAAAAGGATGTGAGGGGGTGTATGAAAACGGTGCTGGACGATCGTCGAGCTTTCAGAATCGCTTTTAAAGCTGCTGCGCCCGCGCAGCTATTCTTAGTCGTTTAATCCGGACCGGATTACCAGAGCCCCTTAGTAACAAACGAACCTTGTTTCGCCGGCGCTGTAATCTCAAGCGAAAAACCGGCGGAAGATAGTTTTGTAGAAACTGTCGCTCTCTAGTTTTCACGGGCCTCTCGTAAAACAAAAAAACTTGCGTCTTTAGCCCCTCGGGTTGTGATTCGTCTAGTCGTTTGTTGCCACTCGGAGATATTAAAGTTTTATGGGTGGACGAGCGTAGAAAGCTCTTGATTCGCTCGAACGGTTTGTGTACAGTTGTATTTTTACCCAATGGCTCCTGGATATGTCGAAGAGCACGAGTCGTTGATTCTTAGCCTCAAGCATGCATATCATGTTTTCGTTTTGAGTGAAGAACTCTCACGTCAGTGTAGTCGCCGTTTGTTTTCTTGAAATGTGTGTCTGGAATATGTTGTTTCAAGATGCCTACACTGTGTCTTGGGTTGCCTTGAAAATTAAACTCCAGTCGAGCAAACTTGAGAACTCGTTTTTTTAATATATATTTAAGGTGTCTCTTTGAACGTTGTATTTCGAACAAGTGTCCCTGAACGAGACACCTGTTGTTGGCTAGTTTTAAACTTTAACTAAACTTTACCTCCATCGCACCATTTTAGTTCTTTAATATAAAGTTTCATAGATATTTTAAATCCTTTATTGCACGCGTTACCTCGCAAGCAACTTTTTATCAATCAAAAATGGGTATATGCTACGTATTTCAGATTGTGTGCACATTTTGGCATTTTGAAAAGCGTGTAAATGTTCATGAAATTCTAACAAATTCTATAAAATAAGGATAACCTAAGACACGATATCAAATGCTTTCTTCGGTTTATTTACAAAACGGTTTCGAATGGAGCTAGCGTTATTTATGTGTAGGTAATATGAAATCGCCAATTGCGACAATAAAAATATTTGTCACAAACATGGTGTTTCGCCCCATTTGCCTCGAGCTTTCAGATTGCAATAAGATACGTCAAAAAGACCATTGGGCTTTGAAACGACTCCAAACTCTCAACGCTTGCGACTTGATTACTGCCATAAAAAGGTAAGGTTTTGAATTTCTGGTTTTAGAGTCTTTATAAGTGCCTAATTCTACTAGAGCGTCAAACGACAAGCATCACTCGAGACGTAAGTACGGATTTTGTATAATTCAGAAGAAACGTTTCTCAACCGTAATCTCCACGCGCCCCTGAATACAGCCGTCCGTTTGCGGAAGAAACTATGGTTAAAAAACAAACGTACATTCGAGGGATGTTTCTTTTTTTTCTACTTTTTCAGCATCCAATGAAGTGGGCAGGAAAAACGAGAGTGTTGGAAAAATGTAATATGCACAACATCTAGGCAGTGTTGTACACGCTCCTCAATAAGAGTAACGAAAACTCGTTCCTATACCTCTTTCTAAATTTTTGGAACACGTTGCCGTTGCAAGTTCCATCTGTGAGACAGGAACTCGTTTCCGTTACAGTTAAAAAAAATGGAACGTAGTGTTACATATACGTTACTTTTTTATTGTGCTGATTACCGTATTTAGTTACATCAAACGAAGTATTTTTGTCTATCTATTCTATGAAATGGCAACATACGAATTTGATTGTCGCGATGGAAGCACACCAGGAGAAGAAAACAAAAGGAAGCAAGGCTTCGTTTGTCGATATCTTCACCTTTAAAACTCTCAGTGTTTAGGCCCATTCTTGTTTGTGGTGGGCCATTCAGACGAGCCAAATGTACTGTTAACCAACATAGCGCGACTTAACAAAAGTTCGAACTTAACAACAAGTGGAGATGAGGGTAGGACTTTTGGAAGGTCAGCCTTAAAAACTACAACTCCTTCTTCGTGAAGGTTGGATTGTTTAGTTTGAAGGTTTTGAAGTTTGAAGAGAGGAAAAAAAAAGGTTACTTGTCGTGTATATTTTAAGCGACCAATGTTCAGGATATAAGGGTGCATTCAATGCCTGATAACCGGTTCTTTTGTTGTAACTGTATTTTTTTCGTGTGTGTCCGTGTGCGTGTGCTTGTGCGCGTACCTGTGTGTTCGCGTGTAAGTTAAGTGATGGCTTTAGTCGGCCTTATATTTCTGGGCGTATGAGGATGCCTGGAAACAAAACAAAAAAGTTGCCGCGTTTAAGACGTCTCTCCTTCTGTCTTTTCCTTCGTCTAAAATTTTTGCATTTTTTAGCGCAGTCTCGGGCACTGAATAAATAACTAATGTCCACTACATCTCCTGCACCCGTCTGTTACTAAGCGAAGACCCCACAAAAAAAACAAAAAAAAACAACGTAAGTAAGAAGAAGGTTAACGAGATCCTGCTCATATTAGAAGTATGGTTTTTATCTTTTCATTTTTTTTAAATTTCCTTCTTAGCAAGAAATTAAAAATTACACCATTAGATGAAAACAAGGACGCCGTTTCTTTTTTTCGTTCCCGTAAAAATGTAACGCGTTCCCGTTCTTGTTCCACCGATGCAAAATGGAACGGCGGCGTTCCTTCGTACCTCCTAAAAGGAACGCGTTCCTGAAACGCCGTTCTTTGGAACGCCGTTCCGTACAACACTACATCTATACTCTAAGAAATGCCTGCTCGTCTCCTTTCCCGCAAAACACTCGAAGAGCCAATCCCTGCGATCTATGAAATCATCTCAGCGAGTGATGTGGCGGAACATCTGTTTAGACCTCAAAATGAAGTCTGCGCTGTGACATTACGCAATGTAAGCATGACGCTTTGCATTGCGTAATGCCAGAGCGCAGACTTCATTTTTATGTCTAAACGGGTGTTCCGCCTCATCATTCGCTGAGCTGATTTTGTACATTGCAGACGTTGGCTCTTCGAGTGTTTTGCGGGTAAGTAAAAAAAAAAAAAAACCTCCCTCGGGGTGGAAGCTGGCCCGAATGACGTGGCCTAAAATATGCATTTAAGACTTTGGGATAAAGTCCGCAGTGCATCGCTTGAGTATGAGCACGTGCTCACATCATGCCCAATGTCCCATCTCGTACTTCTTTTTTTCTTTTTAGGACTGAACCTATTTCCGACCTTGCCGTTCGCTGAGCTCACTCCGGAGATGGCGGTCATTGGATTTCCGAGCGTTGTGCTCGACAGTAGACGCACGAACATTTCTAAGAATGGAGCGCGTCCAAGAGAAAGCTAATCCTATTTTAATGCGACGCTCTGTTTCCCGCCTGTCCGAGTGCAGCCCACGCCACGATGTGACTGAGCCAATTCAAAGCGCAAAAAGCGCATTGTCATGGTGCTCGTCGTATTTGTGCGTTTCCTATCACCGACTAAACCTATCGCGCATAGGGAAGGCATCATGTATGGATAGATGGGTGTTAATACAAACAGAATCGTATATGTAGAGTCTGGCCATTCATTAGAGAGTTCTAGTAGATCGTTCCTATACCTCCGATAGCCCCGATAACGATACTATGCATGCACAAGGGAGGCGGTGGCGGAGTATCGGGTATCGTTATCGGAGTCATGGGAACGATCTACTAAAACTCTCTATTGGGAAGTATAGGAGACAATAGGAGACACATGAGGAGGTGCCATTGGCCGAAAGCTGCAGCTGGGCGTGTTCCAGGGCGTCCTCACAAATTCGAATGTGTCCAACCAGGAACCGTAATATTATCCTGGCGGCAGTCGCGAGAAACAAACTTAATAAGTGCGTCGCAGTAACTCTCGGTGACTGAAAATGTGGTGCACGTGATGTTTCAATCACGGTCATCCAAAATCGCCGAGGGCCAGGAATCTGCCGACCGAGCCGTCACACCATGTCCGAGCAAAACAGAGTTCGAGCGGCCACATTCGTTACTTACATATTTCTGCATGATCATGATCGAAACATTACGTGCACTCTATTTTCAACCATGAAGGGTTACTACATTTAACTCTTACGCTCATATTGAAAGGATTAAGACTGTTTCTCGCTACCACCGCTAGAGGATTTTCTTCGGCTTCTGGTTGGCCAGAGAGCATGCCAAGCACTCTTTCTGCGTCTGGTGCACGCCCTGGCTCTGCCCGCACCTCCCATTGACCAAACTTTTTGTGTACATGGCTCTGAATACAAATGGTTAATAGCTATACCCTTGGTAACGGGCTGTAGCTTGCGCCCCCTAGCCTTAGTTTAAGAAGACAAACATATGGTTCTTCCCGCCCTTCTAAGCCAATTTTCTCCCGCTCCCTAACTATATTGCGATCTTTTTTTTTTTCTTTCTTTTTCTGTGCAAGATATTGGTGGAGAGGGTAATAGGATCGCCGGTGCGATGCCTATTGGCCTTGCTTGATTTACACCATGCAACCGTAGCGTCAGTATAAAACGTTTCGTCGGGTGTATTCAGAGCAATTGAATCCACAGCGACGACAGTCACGTCGAGAACTGTTTTCCTTAAAAAAATAAAAAAAAAAGGTGCAAAGCAATCATGAAACAGCAACAACTCATGAATCATGAGTTCTCCCGGTCTCCCCATCAATGCTCTCTTTCCAACGTTTACAAAATCACAGTCAAGCGTGCGATCGTCACAACCCAGCACGTGCATGTTCATCGCTTCGGAAAGCGAGCAAAGCACGTGCCATACACACAAACGTTCAAATTGGCACCGGCCGCACGCTTTTTTTTTTGGAAAGGTCTGGCGCGAGAGCGTGGCTTTATTTATACCTTAGAAGCCCAATATAAGGAGTATTCACTGGGCGCCATATTTGTGGGTGCTGTCTAGAGCGTATGCTCAGAACGAGCCCCCATTAATAGGCTGCTAAGATCGGCCATTTTGACGGTGTGGAATGCACGTTGAAAAAGAACCCTGGAAGCTAGCCTTCAGCACGCGCTCAGCAGTCGCGCACACAGCTATGGCCGCCAGTGAATACTTAGTATAGGGCCAAGGCAGGAGTGGGGTGATACAGTGTCACACATGCAAATTATAAACACAACAGTTCTAAACAAAAAGCAATCTTAGCACCGAAAAATAATATCTACGGCTTTTTTGAAAGAACAGAGTGAATCAATATCGACAACATCACCGGGAAGGCTGTTCCACAAATCAATTGTATGCACAAAAAAAGATAGTTTATGGCTATTTATTCGAGCTTTAATAGGGGCTACGGTCTTTGAGTGATGCAAGCGTTCCGAGTAAAAACTTTTTGGATTTAGGTAAACGGAGCCATCAGTTTTTATACAGTTCTTGAAAATCTGAAAGAACAGCTTCAACCGTTGGCTCTCTCTTCTGTTTGACAGAGGGCTCTTCTTTTAAGTTCGGTCACAGACGTAGTTCGTCTGAAATCTGAAAAAACTATACGCACTGCTAGCGATTGAATATCTTCGAGTTCTCTGACCAGAGAGCTCTGCCATGGGCTCCACACTGCAGACGCGTATTCTAACACAGGTCTAATAATTGTCTTATACGCAAGAAATTTAACGGAAGGGGGAGTTTTACCGAGCGTTCTCTTCAGGTACCACAATTTGTTAGTTACCCGCTTTTTAACATACTCCACATGCTTTTTCCACCCGAGGTCACAAGACAAAATCACTCCCAAATATTTGTAACTGTCTACTTCAGTCAATACTACGCCAGCAACCTCATAGCTAAAGTTTAAGACAGTTCTTTTTGTTGTAATATGCATGTACTGAGTTTTGCTAATATTAATCTTTATGTTATTTTCACGACACCAAGACGCAATTTTAGCCAGCGCATCACTCACTTTTATCTGGTCTTGTATTTCAACAACGGGACAGCAAATAACGCAGTCGTCGGCAAACGTTCTTAGCTTAATTGGGACATCTTCAGTGGATGGGGACAAACTGTTAACGTAAGTTAAAAAAAGTACGGGCCCTAAGACAGAACCTTGGGGCACCCCAGAATGAACATCTAACAGCCCTGAGTAAGTACCATTTATATTCACAAATTGTCGACGGTTTGAAAGATATGCATTGATCCA